CTTACCACCGGTGTCGGGGTGTGTGTGTGTGTGTGTGTGTGTGTGTGTAGTGGGTGAGCAGGCAGGCGGGTGGTCCCGGACCCCAGCCAGTGGGGTCATCCCCCTGCATCCATGTGTCTGTGGGAGTGGGGTACATGTGTTCGTGGGACTGAGACCTGAACTGTCACGTTCTTTGAGTTAGAGAGGCACCCCACCACCACCACAGACCAGATGAGGAAACTGAGGCCCAGAGAGAGGAAGGGACCTGTCCAAGGCCATGCAGCAGGTGCATGGCAGCCCGCCAACCAACCCACTGCCGCCCAGCCGCTGCCAGCTCGTAGGGGCTCCACAGCCAGGGTAGAGCGGCCCAGTGGGCTTCCGAGATGTGACTCTTTGTGGGAAGAGAAAGCCCTGCCATCCTCTGGCCGCCGAGGCGACCAGTGGTTCAGAACTGCTGACCTTGCGGTCATCAGTGAACAGAACCAGCATGCATGGCTGTTAGACATGCACACCCTGACACTGGGTCCCTGGAGCCAGGGGCCAGGCCCTGGGGAGATAGAGTTCTCCACCCCACTCTCCCCAGGGCCCTTGAGCAGGGGGAGGGACCCGGGTGGGGCGGGGTGGGGCAGGACCTGGCCATCCACAATGCCCGCCTCCTCCAGGGTGATCTCTGGCTGGGCCAGCAGCTCCCGGCCCTCTTGGGCGCCCATCTTCCAGAGGCGGGACTCGCGCCGCACGGCCAGCAGCATCTTCAGCTCCGACTCCACAAAGCCTGCCAGCCAGAGAGGTGGGCGGGGCACAACAGAAGAGCAGTGTCCCCTGCCGGGGACCCACAGGAGAGAGGGCGCTCCCTCCCGCTCTCTGGATTTCACCCCAGCTCTGAGACACCTCTGCTCGGTAGCCCTTCCTCCTTCCATCTAGGGGCTCCCTGCCACCCGGCCTGCCTGCGGAAGCTCGCTCGCGTTCCAGAGGCCTTCCCCAAGTAGGAAGACCGGTGCCCACCTCCGGCCGCCAGCTCAAGAGCATAAATCTAGGTTTGAACCCAAACAGCCTGGGACAAGGGCCAGCTCGGCCACTTACTGGCCGTGTGACTTTGGACAAACGGCTGACCCTCTCTGTGCCTTGGCTTACACACTGCAGGGGCTGGACCCACCTCACAGGGGGGCCGGTCTATATCATGTGAAAAGCATTTAGATCCGGGTCTGGCCCATTGCTTCGGGTAAGAAGGCAGCATCAAAATGAAAGTCCCATAAAGAGATGACGGAATTCCCCCACCAGTTTTGGGGAGCCCTCTTGTATAGGAATGCCAGCAGTGCCCTTAGGATGTGAACCAGCTGCCCTCCTTGTGTGAGATGCTGCAGGGAGGGGCTGCGCGGGACCTGTCAGCAATGCATGATGGGAAAATCAGGCATGCAGGAAGCTTCCCCCGGTAGGCAGCAGCCTCTGGCCCACCTAATGCAGGCTGAAGAAAGGTGGGTGCTGCAGGAGCCTCTGCCCCATCACAGGCCCCCACCTTGCTACCTCTTAGACGGAGCAGGGAGACCCCTTCTCTTGCAGGTTACACCTAGCAGGGCATCCAAGGCAATGCGTAGGTGGCCTGTCTGGGGTGGTCGTCTGGCACCACCTGGTGGTAAGTACTGGAATCGCACCCTGACCGTTCGTCTCTGCGGGGCTGGCTCCCTTGGTTGTAGGAGGGCCACGTTGCTGAAGGAAGTGGCCCCGAACTTACCCACGGTATCTGTCGACCGAAAGGTCTTATGCAGCGGCGACTGGAGAGGGACGATGCCGGGGACACAGAAGTTAAAGACGCTGTCCTCTTCCGTCTCCTCGTCGCCCCCTTTCTCCTTCTCCAGGGCCAAGCCTTCCTTGGGAGGGAACGGAGCGCGCCGGCCAGGTGCCTGAGTTGGTGAGGAGGGCCGAGATGCTCCACCTGCAGCTCCCCTCCTCAGGATGGGCAGGGATCTCGAAGGGTTAAGAAAGAGCCCCCCCCCCCATAAAGTGATTAAAAATTTTTTTAAAGGGGGCTAGGCCGGAAGGAATGGTACCTCCCTCCCTGTGTGCCCGCTGGGCAGGCTGCCCTCTAGCTTCCTCCACAGCAGCCTGCCCTCAGAGCAGAAACAATTAGCAGGGCACCCAGGCTCAGGTGCGTCATCTGGGCACAGGCCAGCTCCCAGCTGATGGGGGAGGGGGGCAGCCAGCTTGGCCTTTCTGCAGGTCCCCAGCTCCGAGCCGAGGCAGGGACCCTACCTGCTGTGAGCCCCTGTAAGTCTCTCCACCCCTTCTCTTTGCACCCATCAGCCCTCACCCAACCTTGCAGCCCTGGGGCTAGGCCAGGGTAGTGCGCCAGCCCCCACCCCAGCCTCCCGCTGTGGGGTCATCTAGCTAATAAGCCTCGAACCTGGTCATGATTAAGAGGGGTAGACAGTTGGACTTCAGGCTGGTGACAGTGATGGGGGGCTGCTCGCTTCCATACACTTGCTGGGGAGTGGCTCCCCGACAGGGGGCCCGAATTGGGGGAGTCCTCTGGAAAGGCAACCTCCTGGTGGACGGCAACCCCCAGTGTCCAACCCAGGCCCACCCCCAACGCCCTCCCCCGCCCTGCCATGGGCCTGTAGGGGTGGGTCGGGCTGCCCCCTAGCTGCTCCCGGAGTCAGGGGCCTTAAATAGCTGAGGCCGGCCCCCACGATGCCCGATGCCCGGGCTGCTTTCCTGGCTTTGTCCCCGAGCTGGCCGGGCAGGAACTTCCTGTTAGAGAATTCCCGGATCCTTTCCGGGAGGCCTGAGAACTGGAAGGGGGAGGGGTGTCAAGGAGCACCTCCCTCTTGTTGGGGGGGGGGGCAGCATGGCCTCTCAGCACTCTGGGAGCAAAGCCCCACCTCGGCCTCACCCCCAGCATGGTCAATTGTGGCGCCCAAGGTCCAACCAGTGCTCTACAGCCGGGCCCTGGCAGCCTCCTGGGCGCAGGGGCGAGGTGGCGGCGACACTGAGGATGAGGCGTGGGTGCCAAGGGCACAGTGGTTCTTTATTACCAATCTGGATGGCGGGACAGCGCTGGACCGCACACCCTGCAGACACAGGTCATTAGTCATCCCAAGACCGCCTGGGCCCCGCCTCACTCGGGGGGCCAGTTCCCCATCTCATCCATCTCCTCGAGCAGCAGGTGCTGGGGGGAGAGGGGGTGAAAAGAGGCTTCAGAATCGTGGGCTTACCTCTCTGCCCTGCTCTGCACCCCACCACCTTCCTACTGCTCCCCAGAGAGGCCCTCCCCTGTCCCCACAAGGGCTGAGTCACCAACACCCGCCCCCCCGACTATTTTACAGTGGGACCTTTTTCCCTCCAACTCGGGGTGGGGTGGGGTGGGGGGCACCTTTGAAGTTCAGGGAGTCAGGCATCCAGCCAGCCCTCCCTCCACCATCTCTCTCCTGGACACCCTGCAAGTACTCCCCAAGGAGCTTAGGAGAGCCCTCAGCCCAGGGTGACCCCTGGGGCAGGTCCAGGCTCTGCCAGGCACCAGCAGACAGGCTCCGAGTGGTCTGGAGGGAGGGGGAGTCCCCATGAAAGCCGCACCCACTCCCGTCCCCCTCGGCCTGTCTGGGAGAGCGAGGAAGGGATGGCAAGGACGCTGCCCTCGCCAATCCTGACTATCCTGACTCGTCACGACCCCGCGGAGGTGTCCGGGAAGCTGCAGGTCTTTACAGAGCACGGCACCTCATGCTTCCTGCCTCGGGCGGCTGTTGGGGTGTGAACTGCGGACCTTTGGTGATCAGACCACAGCCTAACATGCCCGGAGATTAGGACCCTGAAAGGGGCACATGAGGGGGCGCTGCCAGGCTGCCACTCTGTGGCTGTGCATGAGGTGACCCCACAGCAGAAGGGCCCTGTGAGCGGGTGAGTGGGCGGCCTTAGGCCTCCTGGAGCCACTGTCCCAGGAGGACAAGAGCATCGTCGCCGTGGCCCTAGCAGAGCCTTTGTCACCATGGCCACCACGCTCAGGGCAAGGCGCTGCCGGGAAAGAAGCACAGGCCTGTAGCCAAAGTCCTGGGGTGAGTGGGGCTTCCTTTCCTAACCTGCATGGACCAGGGGACTGACACAGAGTCCAACCATAGACGCGCCTGCGTGCATTCAGGGAAGGGACCCTTACCACCGGTGTGTGTGTGTGTGTGTGTGTGTGTGTGTGTGTGTGTGTGTGT